ATTCATTCATTCATTCATTTATTTATTTATTTATTTATTTATTTATTTATTTATTTATTTATTTATTTAGCTGTTCAAAAATAGAAACTTTATTGAGATCAACTCTCTGTAATGTTGTGCCTCATATTAAGGCGCTCATCCATAACTTTAATCAGATTATATCTGTTATATCACATTTTATTTAAGAGGTATGGAAGTCCTTTGTGACTTAAAATAAATTTAAATAAACTCTTTTTGAAAATAAACATGTTGTTAGATGTTCTACTGATTTATGTGCTGATAAAAGTCTTGTTTTCTGGGCTTTAAAAGACTAATTCTAAGGAAAAAAACGCACCCTGATGCTTCAAAAGTGTTTCCCCGACAGCTGTTTTAATGGTGGACGGTAAAATAAACTATATTTATTGAGAATTTAACATAAAATGTTGTATTAGAGTTGAAGTAAGAGAGTAGACGGTCTAAAAACTAAATCTGGTTGTGTTTAAAGTTGTGTAAAAGGCTTTGCCACTCAGTCATTGTGAGTGTTTTAGCCAGTTTTTTTTATTTCTGAGTAACTTTTTAGTCATCCTGACTCACCGATAGGCCACAGAAGCTTTTTGGCTCTGGGTATTTTCCATTTGGCATTTTTTAGAAAGAGAAGTCACCCTGTGTGGAAAAGTGGGCGGGGCTTGGACTCCTATTGGTCAGAGATATTAAACATTAGGGCATTTAATCAACCTTAGTTTACTCTGATGAATCTCTGGAATGGGGATTATTCCACAGATGGACACAAGGACAGTAAAGTCTGTTTACCAGATAATTAACCCGAGTTAAGACCTTAAATCTAACGAGTTAAGACTGTCTTTTAATTAAGATATCATCAAGACATCACACTGTATTAGAATATCTGCTAGATCCAAGATGAAGTCCAGTCTTTTAACTCAATTGATCTGAATTAAGACAAACTGGGTGCCTGAAAACAAACTCCAACTGACCACTGGATCTGGATTTCTGAATCCAAAATGCTATCTCTTTTAACCCTTTAAAGCCTGATCCAAGAATAAAACAAAACAGAAAATTCTTCTTTTTTTTGTTTGAATTCCTTATTTGGCCTTTTAACAAAATATGTAAAAAGAATAAACAGAAATACATTTTTTATATTACTAATTGCGATAAGTTAGGATTATTTTTTGTGTAGTCTTCTGCCCCCTGTTATCAGGTGTATCTGATTGTGTACAATAGGATTTTGAGCAAAGTTTTTACCATTAAATTATGCAAAAGGAGTCAGACGCAAAACATTTCAGAAACCGTATGAATCAAATATGATACATTTGGCATAATAGGGTTAAAATATTCTTTATTATTTAGGTTTTGGACAGATGTCCGAGTCTTTTCTGGGTCGTTTGTGATCTTTACTGACTCACATCTTCTGGGTTTTGACAGTAAAAGTGAAGCTAAAAGCTAAAGAGCAGCTAACCGCAGAGCAGAGGCTGTAAACAAACGAAAGGCGTCCTTATTTGACTCGGCTTCTGCTGCCTTTTCTGCAGAAACCCGGGGGGAAAACCGTAATCTGTGCCTCCGTCTCCTCACCAGCTCGAGTCTTGTGGTTGGCACCTCGTGCTAAACTTCCTGTGCACACTTCTGCACGAGGTGCTGTGTGGAAGTAAATATGTGCCATCAGAATTTGAATTAAAAAAAAAAACCTCTGAAATTTGAATGTTGTATATTAGTGCTTACTTTTTCAGTGTTCAAAAAAAGAATAAAAAAGAAAAAAGAATAAAAGAATAAAAAGAATAAAAAGAACAAAAAATAAAAAAGAATAAAATTCAGAATATATTTTTAACCTAAAAAAATGTCATTCAATGTCATTATTTGTACATAAAAAAAAAAAATTCAGTGTCATTTTTTTTTACATGGTTGCAATTTTCAGTTATTGAAAAAAATTCACATTCCTATTTCAAAGTGATCAAATTTTCAGTGTTAAAAAATTCAGCATATAAAAAAATTCAACTTTTCAAAATTCAAATGCAATATTTTC